GGAGTCCTGGGATCAACTCCTACACTGGGCTCCCCGTATGGAGCCTGCTTCTCCCTCTGCCTGTCTCTGTTTCTGTCTCTGTTTCTCTCTCTCTCTCTCTCTCTCTCTCTCTCTCTCTCTCTCTCTCTCTCTCTCTCGTGAATAAAGTCTTTAAAGAGGATCCCTGGGTGGCGCAGCGGTTTAGCTCCTGCCTTTGGCCCAGGGCGCGATCCTGGAGACCCGGAATCGAGTCCCACGTCGGGCTCCCGGTGCATGGAGCCTGCTTCTCCCTCTGCCTGTGTCTCTGCCTCTCTCTCTGTGTGTGTGACTATCATAAATAATAAATAAATAAAAAAGTCTTTAAAAAATAAAATAAATTGTAAAGTCAGTTAAAAAGGGATATCCCTGAGGTGCCTGAGTGGCTCAGTCAATTAAGTTACCAACTCTTGGTTTGGGCTTGGATGGTGATCTCAGGATCATGAGATGAACCCTACATTGGGCTCCAACTGAGCATTGAATCTGCTTGGGATGCTCTCTCTCTCTCTCTCTCTCTCTCTCTCTCCTTCTGCTCCTTCCCACCATGTGCACTCTCTTTCTCTCAAAGAAATATATAATTCTCTTTAAAAGGGATATCCCAAGGAGGGTGGGGGTGGGGGCACTGAGGTGGGCATTTGACGGAATGAGCACTGGGTGTTATTCTATATGTTGGCAAATTGAACACCAATAAAAAATAAATTTATAAAAAAATAAATAAAAAATAAAAGGGAGGGGATCCCTGAGTGGCGCAGCGGTTTAGTGCCTGCCTTTGGCCCAGGGCGCGATCCTGGAGACCCGGGATCGAGTCCCACGTCAGGCTCCCGGTGCATGGAGCCTGCTTCTCCCTCTGCCTATGTCTCTGCCTCTCTTTCTCTCTCTCATTCTCTGTGACTATCATAAATAAATAAAAAATAAATTAAAAAAAAATAAAAGGGATATCCCTAAAATTAAAGAAATAGTCTTCTCCATTCCATTAAAAGACTACCTTTGGATAGTCCTGGATGCAGAAAAATGAAATGGAATGCAATTTAAAGGTACTTAAATATGGATTAATTATCCTGGGGAAAATATATGTTGTCCATATATTTTTATGCTAGCTCAGGCTTACTTACCATGTTGTATAAAACAATTTATTAAACCTTGAGAGGTCAGGGGCACCTGGGTGTCTCAGATAGTAAAGCATAAAAAAAAAAAAAAAAAAAAAAAAAGATGGTAAAGCATCTATCTGCCTTCTGCTCAGGTCATGGTCTCTGGGTCCTGGAACTGGAAGCCCCACTTTCAGCTCCCTGCTCAACCGGGAGTCTATCCACCACCACCACCACCCCACCACCCCCACCCCTGCTGCTCAAGCTCTCTCTCAGGAACAAATAAGATCTTAAAACAAAAATAAGATAGAGTAAAACCTTGAGAGGCCAAAGGCCCAAGTGTTAGAGAAACAAAACAAGTATTTATATCTGAATGGGCATATTGATAGTTCCAGATGTTTATACAGGTATTGGAAGTGTGGATGATCCACTGAGAGAAATGTAGAGAAAAAAAGCAATAGAACTTGTCATGAACATTCTAGAAGTTAACATCTCAACCAAAAAAGGGATTTTCAGTGTTTTAGTACTTTGAACAAATGTCAGGGCTCCTTCATGGATATTCTCCTAAAAAAATACTGTGATCTTTTTTTTTTTTTTAAGATTTTATTTATTTATTCATGAGAGATGAGAAAGAGAAAGAGGGGGGGGCAGGGACGGAGGGAGAGAGGCAGAGACACAGGCTGAGGGAGAAGCAGGCTCTAAGCAGGGAGCCCAATGTGGGACTTGATCCAAGGGCTCCAGGATCATACCCTGGGCTGAAGGTGGTGCTAAACCGCTGAGCCACCTAGGCTGCCCTGTGATTTCTTTCAAATGCATGTTATCCGTCCCTTTTTATTCAGTCCCTTTTTTAAGTATCCTTTTTTAAGTTTGCCAATCTGACTACAGGGTTCACATGCCTTCTCCTACACAATGCCACAAAGTCTCATTCTTCCTACTTGAGTATGAGACATACCCCCTCCTCTCTTGCAGACCCAAGGCAATTTCTGAGAGGTCTTAGGTTGTACTTCTGTATAAAAAATCTTGATATAAGAAAGCAGAATGTAGGGCAGCCCTGGTGGCTAGCGGTCTAGCACCACCTTCAGCCCAAGGTGTGATTCTGAGGTCCTGGAATCAAATCCCACATCCGGCTCCCTGCATGGAGCCTGCTTTCCCTCTGCCTGTGTCTCTGCCTTTCTCTCTCTCTCTCATGAATAAATAAACAAATCTTTAAGTGGCTCAGTGATAGAGCTTCTGCCTTTGGCTCAGGGTGTGATCCCTGAGTCCTGGAAATGGGTCCCACATTGGTCTCCCTGGATGGAGCCTGCTCTTCTCCTCCCTCTGCCTATGTCTCTGCCTCTCTTTCTCTGTGTCTCTCATGAATAAAATCTTTAAAAATAATAATAATAAAGGAGAGTGTCCTCATCTTTGCTTTTCTTTTTTGGTTAACTCTCAGATCTTCACTTTTCAATGGCTTTGGGTATGGTGTATGAAGTTCCCCAACACCATTTTCATGGTTTCAAATAATACATCTTTTACAAAATTTGCAACTTCACTTTGCAGTGAATGCATGCTGTGTTATCCAGTGACTAGACAAAGATGTCAAGAGAGCAATGCTAAAGTTAAGCAGCGTGAGATGTTTGAGTCAGGAATAATTTTTAAACAGTCGATTTATTAGGGAATTATTTATTTGTGAATGATTTAATGTTATGATAACTTCTGCTTCCTGGTATCAGCTGAATCGTGTCCTCTCCAAATTTATATACTAAGTCCTAACTCCCAATACCTCAGAATGTAGCTATATTTGGAGACAGGCACTACAACATGGTGCTGAAGAATGTGAAACTGATGTGGACTGAGGTCCCCAAGAGTGGCTAAGGCAAAAAATCTAAGTCAATCAACAAGGACTGTTACATCTCCAAGATGCTTCTGTGTGAGGACTTGGCCATCATGATCCTATGGAACCTACTCATCACCAGCAAGTAGGGGCCTCCTCCCTGCTGTCAGAATCCCCTCCCTCATCTTACTAAGACCTGCCCTTTATAGCTGGAATAATAAAATCCTGTTTTTTCTAGTGCCAAAAGAAGGAGAAAGAGGAGGAGAATAAGAAGAAATTTGGATGTAGATACAACAAAGAGAAAAGAAAATCTAGAGGCACAGGTTGATAGCCACCTATACGCCAAGGAGAAAGGCCTGGAACAAATCCTCCCCTCATGACATTCAGAAGGAAGCGATCCTTGCTGATACCTTGATCTTGGACTTGTAGCTTTCCAGAGAAATCAATCTCTTTTCTTTAAGCCACCCATTCTGTGGTACCATTAGAGCAGGCCTAGCAAACTAATATGCCTCATACTCAAACTACTTCATAACTGTAGAAACTTAGATCATCAAAGTGTGTCAAGGAGCTATGGAAACGTATAGCAAGCCACCTGAGGAGGCTGAGGTCAGGAAAGATGTCTCAGAGGAAGTGACAGCTAAACTGAACATTTAAGTAACTTTTGTTAACTGTATAATGGGCTAAGGTGTGGGTTGTTTCAGGTACAAAGGACAAGAGAAAAGACTAACTTCCATCATGCTTCCCTTTATCTACATTTTATCTGTTTGATCCATTCTCTCCACTACACCAGTGTTGTGCTGCTAAGACACAAATAAAACCAAATTAATTCTGCTCCAAACTCTTCCTTGGCTTTTTTTTTTTTTCTCCAGATTTTATTTGAGAGTAAGCACAAGTAGGCAGAATGGCAGGCGGGGGGGGGTGGGGGGGGAGCAGGCCCCTGCCAAGCAGAGAGCCCAATGCAGAGCTCAATCCCAGGACCCTGGGACCATGAACTGAGCCAAAGGCAGATGCCCCACCAACTGAGCCACCCAGGGGCTTCTCTTCCTCGGCCTCCTGCTGCATACAGGATAAAAGTAAAATCCAACTCAGTTTCCTAGGCTAGCACCAGGCCCTACCTAATTTTAGCATTCTTCCATGCCATACCATCCGCACTCTTTCAGGTGTTTTTGTTGTTGTTGTTTTAATTTACTCATGAAAGACATAGAGGCAGACACAGGCAGAGGGAGAAGCAGGCTCCACATAGGGCGTCCTATGTGGGACTCGATCCCGGGACTCCAGTACACCCTGGGCCGAAGGCAGGCACTAAACCACTGAGCCACCCAGGGATCCCCTCACTTTTAGGTTCTATCATGGAAGACTTTTTTGTTTGTTTGTTTTTATGGAAGACTTCTTTAAGTTTTTCCAATAACTTCCAGTTTCAAGGCTTTTCCCCCCTAAGCTATCCAATTTGCAGGTAAGACTATTCCCACTCTCACCTTTTTAAACTAATTAATCCCTATTCCTCCTTCATACCTCAGCTGATTAAATCAGTAGGCTCCTCACTCTGCACTTTTCATAGCACTTCTTCTAAGTGCAATTAAACTAATTATGCAATTAAAGTCTGTCTCCTCCTTCAAACCATAGGGACCTATGTGTCTTGGTCTCCTGGGTATGGTATTGTGCCTAACTCATAGAAGTACTCAATAAATATTTGTTGAATGAAGAGCAATGGTTCCACTGGAAAACTAAAATTAGTTTTGTGTGACTTAAGTTTAGAATTTTTTTAAAACTCTCCTAAAGCCTCAGTAGCCTTTGGTGGGACTATAAAATACATAAGATAGAACCTTAAGATAGGTGCAGAATGACCTGTTTTCAGACTCACTAGACCTTCTTCACGGAGCCTATGCACACTGCTGTAGCATCTGAGACAAAGCCCCATCCCTACCTTTCCTGATTTTGTAAGCTGGGATTCCTGAACTTCTAAATATACAGGTATTTTTGGCTCTTCATAGTCCTAAACCGAGGCACTGAACAAGGTGGTTGGTGGTCGTGGTTGGGAATCCAAGACCCAGGCCCAGCAGTGCCAGGAAACCACACGACTCTCCGTACCTTTTTAAAAAAAAATTTTTTTAATCATTTATTTACGATAGTCACAGAGAGAGAGAGGGGGGGGCAGAGACACACAGGCAGAGGGAGAAGCAGGCTCCATGCACCAGGAGCCCGACGTGGGACTCGATCCCGGGTCTCCAGGATCACGCCCTGAGCCAAAGGCAGGCACCAAACCCCTGCGCCACCCAGGGATCCCGACTCTCCGTACCTTGATGGCACTCTGAGAAGACTAATTTTGGGCACTCTGGGACAGTATGTAGTGCTGTGAGCTGCCACTAGATGGCAGTACTACCTCAATGTACCTAATTCAAGAAAGTAGAACTGGAATTCAGCCACATACTGGTTTCTCCAGAAACAAAAAAGAAAAGAAGTCCGGGCTTGGGACAGGTGGCATCCAGCATCCCTCAGCTCAGCAGCTCTAAGGGAAATAGTTTCCATCTCAGGTCTGACCAGACAAATAAGCAAGTAGTGTGGCTGCTCCAATGACTTTATTAACTCCTTTCTGGGGGTGGCAGGACCTTGTAGTTGAAGAGCTGGAATGGAAACCAGGAAGTGGTGGTCTCAGTATGGATCATTAAAGGGGTACAGAGGGTGCCCTGCATCTCTCGGGACCCTCTTCCCATCCACCTGGAAAGAGACAGACAGATGACTCTATTAGCAGGAGTTGACATTCCAAAGACACAGGGCCTTTCCCTGAATCCTCCTGAACATCACCTATAAACAGCACTATGCCAGATGGCAGTGGCAGGACCCTGAGCACCAGAGAATGCCAGTATTGACATACCAGCAATCCATAGCCTGGTGTATACCTGTCCCTGCCCCTAAGCGTTCATAGTCTCAACTGGAATAAGGAACTATTTATTTCCCTACCTGTAACAGGCTTCAACCCAACCTCAATTCCTCTACCAAGACTGAGAATGCCTTAAAGCCTCCTCTCATTTATACCATATACTGAGAACTTGCAATGTATCAAGAACTGGGATCCTTTTACAGATAAATTGAGGCTTGTAAAACTTAAATAACTTGTTCTAGGTCACAAGATATCAAAGCTGGACTGGGACTCAAAAGCTATTGCTTTATCCCCAAGCCTTATTACTTTCCCAAGCTTAATAAAAAGAAAAGAACCCACTGTGTTCAGGACAGCAATCCTACCAACAACATTCAGCTCCTCCTCTGACCAGCAAGGCCGAGAGGCTAGATCTAGGCCAGAATTCTGCCCCAAATCTTATATTCCCTAACTCTGGCAGGTGATATATACTCACTGTGAGCATGGGCACAATGTATCGCCAATTTTTATTCAGGGCATCTAGCTGCTTCATCTCGTCTGGGCTAAAGGTGAAGTCAAACACCTGGGGATAAGAAGTAGGGATCAGGAAAATCAGCTTTGTGTGTGGAAGCCAGGATTCTTCTTCTTGCCAGGCAGAGTCGGAGCCAAACTATGTCCCAACGGGCTAAAGGTTGAGACCAAGAAGACAGGACCCATCACCAAGTACCTGGATGTTCTGGAGAATACGTGAAGGTGTGATACTCTTGGGGATGCAGATCACTTTCCGCTGGACCTGCCACCTAAGTGGGGGATTGAAGTAGATTAGGAAGAGGAGTCAGTACTCACAATCATTGTTTCGTCCTCCACACAGCCTTCTCTAAACTCCTGGTGTCCCTGAGCCCCAGTAGAATGGGGAACATGCCTCAGAGTAGCTTCCCCTAGATTATACAGCAAGATTAGCAGCCTCACTCAGGTAGTTGGATAAGGAATCACTCAACCCTTGCCTCCCAACCCAGGTGCCCTCTCCGTACTTCTTTCCCCAAGATTGCCCACACCTGAGCAGGATCTGAGCTGGAGACCGGCCATACTTTTCAGCCAGTGCCAAGACTACCGGCTCCTCAAGTAGGACAGGCTCATCAGGATCACGCCAAGCTCGATCAGAGGATCCCAGAGGGCTATAAGCGGTCACCTCCAGGCCGCGTGCTTGGCAGTGAGCAATCAGCTCCTTCTGAGCCAAGTATGGGTGACATTCCACCTGAAACAAACAAAAAAAAAAAACCATCACTATCGGCTGGTCTCACCCAGCTTGTGGGGCCCCCATATCTCGGTCAACCTTGCATTGCTGACTCCCCAATTCCCCTCAGCCCACCTTCCCCACTCCTCACCTGCCACTCCATTCTCTTCCCACACCTCAATGTCTTTATTTTTGGTTTTTTAATATTCTTGTGTTTGATATGAACCAATACATAGTACTTCTTACTGACAGAACCTTACTTTACACATACATCGTTCACATTTATTTCCATTGTGCTTGAATCAAAGACTTTTTAGTTTTTTTTAACTCCAGTGTAGTTACCTCAATGCTCTCCTTTATGCAGAAAATTCCTTCGTCAACACTTCTGAAAACTTGCTAGCCATCTCCATGAAGTAGACCCATCATCTGCTCACTTATGTTCCCGCACACACATATGCTCTCAAAGCAACAGATCTGTGTTGCTGTGCTCACCTGCAGGACAGCTGGGCGTACAGAGGCCACACTGAGCACATCATCGATCTGCCGACTGCTGAAATTGGACAGGCCCAGTGCTCGTACCAGTCCCTTAGCCACCAGTGCCTCCAGAGCTTTCCAGGTCTCCTTGTAGTGGGTAGAGTCATAGCGGATTGTCCCATCGGCGTTTTTAGGGAAAAGGTTGTCTCCCCGCCTAAGTAAAGACAGCCCCCCATGAGTGGGCACAAATGCAAGGCTCCTGCCTTATCTGCTCATCCAGCCACTCTGTGTCCCCATACCAAGCCCAGAAAGGGCAAAAGGCCAAGAATAAAAAAACAAGCATGCTCTTTCACCCGCTTAGGTCATGACCCAGGTGTTAACTCTATATAGAACGCCCATTCCCTCTCCTCTTCTTCCTAGACACAAATTGTATCTCTTCTCCTCTGGGAAGTCTTTCTGAACTCCTTCCTCCTCAAAGAGTTGCATGTTCTTGCAATCTTCTTCTAGGACTGGCACAGAGCTCCTGGTAGGCTCCTCTCATACCCTCTGCTGGAGCTGATTCTCTACTGCAATCCTAGGCCTAGCTCAGCAGAAGCCAGTAGTTTCCTGAATGAATAAAGGGAGGGGGAGGGACCACCCATGTATCCCTAGGATCCACCTCAGGTGAAGCTACACTTCTTTGCTGTAGCTAAACTCTTGGCTGCGATGGCATAAAAGGCTGAGTTCCCATGGCAAGCTGAGGAGTGTTCCTCTCCTGCCCTGCTCTTGTGCCTTACAAGTTACTACCATAACTCCCCCAACACCTGACTCCCTGGATGAAGACCCTGGCAAGACTCACTCAAAGGCATAAGGCCAGTGCATCAGGTACAGGTCCAAATACTCCAGCTGGAGGTCAGCCAGTGTCTTCCGGAGGGCAGGCTCCACATCCTTGGGGTGGTGTTTAGTGTTCCACAGCTTAGAAGTCACAAACAGCTCCTCTCGAAGCACCACCTGGTACAGGGGCAGGGCCCATAGTGAGAAGAGCCATGGGCAACCGATACACAGCTAAATCATTTCACCCACCCTCACCTCTGGGCAAGGAATTAGAAGGAAGACGCTGCCAGATCCCTCCAGGCAGGACTCCAGCCCTCACCCCACCCCTCCGTCACCCTAGTCCTCACCTTGCCAGGTCCTACATTCTCCTTCAGGGCCTCCCCGATCTCAGCCTCATTGCCGTAGATAGCAGCACAGTCAATGTGGCGGTAGCCTACACTCAGGGCATACGTAATAGCTGCTTTTACCTGCCAGATGAGATGCAAAGGTTTCAGTTCTGTTGGCCTAGGCCAGAAACTGCCCTCCTGAGGGTCACTAATGGGGAAAGGGGCAGTTATCCCTGTTATCCCACTTCCCTGGAGTGGGAAGATGAAAAATGGTTCTAGTCTAGGGGACTAGAAGCCTCTTCAGAGACCCCAAACCCTTTGCGCTGGCCTAATAATCCCCTAGATTCCCTCCTACCCAAGCAATCTTAGTGGGGCCTAGTAAAAAACTAACATTGGGGCAGCCCGGGTGGCTCAGCGGTTTAGCGCCACCTTCAGCTAGAGGCATGATCCTGGAGACCTGGGATGGAGTCCCACGTCAGGCTCCCTGCATGGAGCCTGCTTCTCCCTCTGCCTGTGTTTCAGCCCCTCTCTGTGTGTCTCATGAAAAAATAAATAAAATCTTAAAAAAAAAAAAAAACTAACATTGGTACTCTCAGACGCTCAGTAGATGGATGGATACATTAAAAGAAAACAGAAGTTTAGGTCATGGAGACTGGTTCTCTAGGTCTGAGGAGCTGATTAGGGAAACACGATACACAGGTAAATAATTTATAGGCCAGTGCTACACTGAGAGATCCTTATGGAGCCCTGTAGATCAAGTGAGCTCTGGGAGTTCGAAGGAGCAAAAGAGCTCTGAGAGGGGGGAAAAAATTAAGGAAGGCAGAGAAGTGAGATGGAAGCTGGGCCCAGAGCCCTCTGTTGGGAGAGAAGAAAGCAGACACAAAGTAGGCGGACAGGTCAGTCAATTTGCTAAAAAACAAACTAGAAACTTGGCATCAGAAGCAGAACCAGGGCAGCCCTGGTGGCTCAGTGGTTTGGTGCCACCTTCAGCCCAGGGTGTGATCCTGGACACCCGGGATCGAGTCCCACGTCGGGCTCCCTGCGTTGAGCCTGCTTCTCCCTCTGCCTCTGTCTCTGCCTCTCTCTCTGTGTCTCTCATGAATAAATAAAAATCTTTAAGAAAAATAATAAAAATACAGCTATATTAAAAAAAAAAAAAAAGCAGAACCAAGGGTGCCAGGGCCTTGCCTTTTAAGATCCCCATCTAGGGTGCCTGGGTGGCTCAGTCAGTTAAATGTCTGCCTTCAGCTCAGGTCATGATCCCAGAGTCTGGGATCAAGTCTGGGATCAGGCTCCCTGCTCTGTGAGGAATCTCCTTCTTCCTCTACCCCTTCCCTCTGCTTGTGCCCTTTCTCCCTCAAGCTCGTTCTCTCTCATTCTCTCAAATAAATAAAATCTTAAGGGCAGCCCCGGTGGCGCAACGGTTTAGCGCCGCCTGCAGCCTGGGGTGTGATCCTGGAGACCTGGGATCGAGTCCCACATCGGGCTTCCTGCATGGAGCCTGCTTCTCCCTCTGCCTGTGTCTCTGCCTCTCTCTTCGCTCTCTCTGAATGAATGAATAAATAAAATCTTTAAAAAAATAAAATAAATAAATACATAAAATCTTAAAAAAAAAAAAATCTCAGGGTAGCCCCGGTGGCGCAGTGGTTTAGCGCCGCCTGCAGCCCGGGGTGTGATCCTGGATCAAGTCCCACGTGGGGCTCTCTGCATGGAGCCCGCTTCTCCCTCTGCCTGTGTCTCTGCCTCTCTCTGTGTGTGTGTCTATGAATAAATAAAATCTTAAAAAAAAAAAATCTCCATCTAGGTACAGCTCTTACTATCCAGACGTACTCCCCTCACCCTGCTGACCCATACCCCCAGTCTTGGCCCAGGTTCTGATTTCCACCCCTTGCCTTTACCTAGCTCCTAGACCTGTCCTGGGCAGTGTCAGCGACTGCCTGGAGTACAGACACCCTGGCTCCAGGGTTCTAGGCAGCTAGAGGAAGGAAAACAAAGGAAAAAGAGGCAGAGCACACCACAAATACCAGCCTAATTCCAAGAGAGAAGAGGCTCTTCTCCCTGCCAAAAGTCCTTCTCAAACTTAATCCCCAAACTTCTCTAAACTCTGACTCAGATTTCCAAAGCAGAAAGAAGCCCTGGGAAGATGCCCCACCCCAGGTGGGAACTGCATCTCTAGTTACAACAACCCTAGGAAAGCTGGTCTCGATTCCCACACTCCCCTAAATTGGAAGAGTCTATACTAGGGTTATTAAACTCCAGCTAGCCTTTTGTTTTTTTCAGCTAAGAATGGTTGTTACATCTTTAAAAGGTTACTTAAGGATATAATTGCCCCCATTTTGCAACTTGTCCAGCAAAATCTCAACCATTAAGCATCTGGTTCTTTAAGAAAAAGTTTGCTGGGATCCCTGGGTAGTTCAGCGGTTGAGCGTCTGCCTTAGGCTCAGGGTGTGATCCCAGGTCTGGGGATTGAGTCCCACATTGGGCTCCCTGTGAGAAGCCTGCTTCTCCCTCCACCTGTCTCTGCGTCTCTCATGAATAAATAAATAAACAAATCTTAAAAGAAAAGAAAAAGTTTACTAACCCTTGGTCTCTACAGTTGACAGGTATTCTTCAAACCCTGACACCTATCATGTGCCTACTTCTGGACTGAACACTAGGGAGTGGCCCAGCCCTTGAGCCCTGTGTGGGAGAGGAAGATATGATCACGGTACTTAAATGCCCTATTAGGGATCAGCACAGGGCCACAGTGGGGTCCCATGTCTGCCACAGCACTCAGTACAGATCTCATTAGGGAAATGGTTCCTTCCTATTCCCTTAGCCCTTCTGGGCCCCGCAGCTGTCCTCTGAGTTAGCTGAGGAAGCCAAGGGCTCACTGCTGGCCTCTTCTTCCCTTGTTTCTTCCTAGTGCCTTTCAGGCTCATCCCTACCTGAAATAGAGTACCAGGATGGGGCTGCTAGGGAAAATTCAGGGGCCCTCTCTCAAATTCTCCCTTTTCCCTGGCAAAGGTGCAAGAAGCCCTCCTCCCTGTCCTCCATTTCTCACCTGGCCAGGATCACTCTTCCAGGTGCCCAGCCCAATCAGGGGCATCTTCTGCCCAGTGTGCAGGAGGACACATGAAGCCGCCATCGCCCCCTGAAACACCAATGGGAAGAGAATGGTATGGGGGTCAGTGTTGCTGCTTGAGCCTCTGCTACCCATTGGTCAAGAGTCCCATAAAACATGGGTGGTAAAGGGAGCACAGACATGAGACAACAAATACATGATTGTGCATACATGCCTGTAAGCAGAGGGCAGCTAAAACAGCATAACCAGAACCAACCAAAGCTAGGAGTTCCTGGACAAACATTAACTGGACCACCAGCCTGGCTGTCCTTCCTTCTACCGGGCTAAAGGTCTGTGTCAGAGAGCTCTAATACCTAAAAACAAAGGTGGGTGGCTCCCTAAAGTATCCAGACTTGACAACATAAAGTCTCAAGCCACTGTAAGATAGCAAAGGCCACGATAAGTCAAAGTGAGACCAAGTGACAGAACAGATTCAGGAACAGGTCACCTCTCTGAGGATGAAACAAACATTCCCAGGAGGCTCTCAGAAACTAGAGATTCTCCTAGTCCCTCACAGACTGGTCTGATCTGCACGCTACTAGGCCAGAGTGGAGTCTTACAAGGGAAGTATACCTTTATTTATTTATTTATTTATTTATTTATTTATTTATTTATTTATTCATTTATTTATTTAAAGATTTTATTTATTTATTCATTCATGAGAGACACACACACACACACACACAGAGAGAGAGAGAGGCAGAGACACAGCAGAGGGAGAAACAGGCTCTATGCAGGGAGCCCGATGTGGGACTCAATCCCAGGTCTCCAGGATCATGCCCTGGGCCAAAGGCAGGTGCCAAACTGCTGAGCCACCCGGGCTACCCAGTATACCATTTTTTAGATGAAAAAAGCAAACTCAGGGCAGCCCCAGTGGCTCAGCGGTTTAGCGCCGCCTTCAGTCCCGGACATGATCCTGGAGACCCAGGATCGAGTCCCATGTCAGGCTCCTTGCATGGAGCCTGCTTCTCCCTCTGCCTGTGTCTCTGCCTCTCTCTCTCTCTGTGTGTCTCTCATGAATAAATAAATAAAATCTTTATCAAAAAAAAAAAAAAAAAGAAAAGAAAAAAGAAAATAGCAAACTCAGGGGATCCCTGGGTGGCTCACGGTTTAGCGCCTGCCTTCAGCCCAGGGTGTGATCCTGGAGTCCCAGGATCAAGTCCTACGTCGGACTCCCTGCATGGAGCCTGCTTCTCCCTCTGCCTATGTCTTTGCCTCTCTGTGTGTGTGTGTGTGTCTCTCATGAACAAATAAAATCTTTAAAAAAAAGAAAGAAAAGAAAAGCAAACTAAGAGGGGAAGTTATTTGCCCCCAAATTAACAGCTGAGAAGTAGCAAAGCCAAGGAACCAAGGAGGAGCCAATGGAAAAAGACAAAAAAAGGCCAGGTTAAACAGACTCCTAATATTCATGTGTTGTGCCTCACAGTAGACACCTATCACAATGTGCTACAGAAAAGCAAATGACATCTGTAGGGCAAGGACCAGGGAATATAGACATTGGCTTTTAAGTTGGACTTCCCCAAGGGGAGTCAAGGGGAGAAGGCTTTCCAGGAAGGGGAATCAGATATAGCAGAAAGCAATAAATTATAGACACAAGAACATTTCCAACTGAACAAAACAGGTGTTACTGGAGCAACCCTCTTTGGAGAGCTTTGAAAATCAGAAGTCTCCAAAGGGCCCACGAATACTCGTTCAGTCAGTAAAAGATGAATACTCCGGGTCTTGTACTGGGCCTAAGAGACCCACATATTCAGAGTCCCTGCCCTCTTGGAGTTTATTATGGGCTGGTGTAGTGAGGACAGAGGGTATTAGTACAATGTATGAGATAGGACTAAAATCTGCACAACTGCAACAAGAAAAGAGTAACCCTGCTAGGATGGCTTCTTGGAAATAATATTTGATTCTTTTTTTTTTTTTAAGATCTTATTTTTGGGGCACCTGGGTGGCTCAGAGACTGAGCATCTGCCTTGGCTCAGGATGTGATCCCAGGAGACACACAGAGAGAGGCAAGACATAGGCAGAGGAGAAGAAGAAGGAGGCTCCCTGCAGGGAGCCTGGCACAGGACTCAGAATCCAGATCCCGGGATCATGCCCTGAGCTGAAGGCAGACGCTCAACCACTAAGCCACCCAGGCGTCCCAAAAGACTTCATTTTATTTTATTTTTTAAGATTTTATTTATTCATATGAGAGAGAGAGAGAGAGAGGCAGAGACACAGGCAGAGGAAAAAGCAGGCTCCATGCAGGGAGCCTGACATGGGACTCGATCCCAGGATCACACCCTGGGCTGAAGGCGGCACTAAACCGCTGAGTCACCAGGCTGCCCAAGATTTTCTTTCCTTTTTCTTTTTTTTTTTTAAGACAAATTATTTTTTTTATTTTATTTATTTATTCATGAGAGACAAAGAGAGAGAGAGAGAGAGAGAGAGAGAGAGAGAGAGAGAGAGAGAGAGAGGGGCAGAGACACAGGCAGAGGGAGAAGCAGGCTCCATGCAGGGAGCCCGACGTGGGACTCGATCCCGGGTCTCCAGGACCAGGCCCTTGGCTGAAGGTGGCGCTAAACCACTCAGCCACCGGGGCTGCCCAAGATTTTCTATTTTTAAAAATATTTTATTTATTTTTTATTTATTCATGAGAGAGAGAGAGAGAGAGAGAAGCAGAGATATAGGCACAGGGAGAAGCAGGCTCCATGCAGGGAGCTCGATGTGGGACTCGATCCTGGGACTCCAGGATCATGCCCTGGGCCGAAGGCAGGCGTTAAACCGCTGAGCCACCAGGGATCCCCAGATTTTCTATTTTTAAGTAATCTCTACATCTAATGTTGGGGCTCAAACTCACAACCCCGTGATCAATAGTTGCATGCTTGGGGCGCCTGAGTGACTCAGTTGGTTAAGTGTCCAACTCCTGATTTCAGCTCAGGTCATGACCTCAGGATCCTGAGACTGGGCTGGGAGCTGGGTGTGGGGCCTACTTAAGATTCTCTCTCTCCAAAAAAAAAAAAAAGATTCTCTCTCTCCATCTCCCTTTGCCTCAATCCACCAATCTAAAAAAAAAAAAAAGAAGGGACACCTGGGTGGCTCAGCAGTTGAGCGTCTGCCTTTCTCTCTCTCTCCCTCTCACTTCTGTTCTCTCTCTTTCTCTCTCTTAAAAAAATAAATAAATAAAAGATGCATACTCTACCACTGAGCCAGCAAGGCGTCCCTGAGTCAATCAAGTCTTGATGAATAGGAGTTATCCAAGGGAAAGGGAAAAGAAAAAGAATGCTCAACCTAAGAGCCAATAAGCTTGAAATAACCTTTTCCCTTGATCTCCTCAGTACTATAGATATCACTTCCTTGGGATTGATTTCATTGCCAGCAATAACTTTATAAATATAACCTTTGTTTCTAAGTTCTGAAAAGACATCAAGAATATTATGGTAGAGCAGGAAATAAGACAAGTTGTAAATATAACTGACATACCAAAATCGTTTTTCCTAATACTTCCAACTCTGGAAGATTTTTATAGTCTAGCATACTGTGGTTATGGGTACCTTTTTCTGCTGAAACAGAAACAAAATTGTTCAGTCTGGGCAGCAAACCACAGATCACTGAGGGTAGTACTGTTACCAAACTTCCCAGGGATCAGGCAAGTTTGTCTGAACTTCACAGGAGGAACTAGTCTGCCAGTTGCCACCAGGGTCTGTGGCTGGTGTCCTGGGCTTGATCCCCAAACAGGTGACCTGCTGGCCTCTCCCAGATTTCCTAGCACACATTGGAGAACTCTGAAATTACACATGGACTTAGGCTGAAAGCTTGAACAAAAGCCTAGTCTAAGGCAAAAAGGAAGAAACCTGATGCTTGCTTCTCCCTTTTGATGGTGAAACAGAAAACCCAAGAGGAAAAAAAAAAAAAAGAAAACCCAAGAGGCCGGGAGGTGGGGCGTGGGGCAAGGGAGGGGGGGGCGTCATAGAATAAGGAACACCTAACAAAGAGGTTCAAAGAACAAGAGCTCCAAAGGAGAGAATGGAGGGGCACAGAGAACAAATGTTTTTCTCTAGGACAGGAAATCATACTTTGCCAGCTCCTGACTTCCTCATCTTCTGCCTCGGGGATTCACTTTCCAGCCTTCTCCTGCATTAACAGGCTCTGAAGCTGTCAGGAACTGCCTTGCTTGGCCTCTGGCAGCAATCAGAAACCCTTATGTTAATTTGGGAGACGTTTGGGGCACCTGGGTGGCTCAGTCAGTTAAGCATCTGCCTTTGGCTCAGGTCGTAATCTCAGGGTCCTGGGATGGAGCCCCGTGTTGGGCTCCGTGCACAGTGTCTGACTGTCCCTCTCCTCCCCCCTCTGCTCTTCCCCTCCTCACAGGCTCTCTAATAAATATAATCTTTAAAAAGGGGGTGGTGGGGGATCCCTGGGTGGCTGAGTGGTTCAGCGCCTGCCTTTGGCCCAGGGCATAATCCTGGAGTCCCGCGTGATCCTGGAGTCCCTCGTCGGGCTCCCTGCATGGAGCCTGCTTCTCCCTCTGCCTGTGTCTCTGCCTCTCTCTATGTCTATCATGAATAATAAAAACAATTTTAAAAAATAAAAATAAAATAAAAATAAAAAGGGGGTGCCTCTCTCTCTCATGAATAAATAAATAAAATATTTTTAAAAAGTTTAAAAAAAAAACTTAGGAGAGAATTTACACATAAAAAAGAAAAGCTGCATGGTGGGGAGGGGGGCATAGGTGGTATCAGGACTCAGGTTTTTTTTTTTTTTTTTTTTTTTTTTTTTAGGACTCAGGTTTTATTTATTTTTTTTTAATATGTATCCTGTGGGGGAGGAAAAATGTATCCTGTGTAAATACTTTTGATATTGATGGAGGGAAGGGATTTTTTTTTTTAAGATTTTATTTATTCATGAGAGACACAGAGAGAGAGAAAGAGAGAGAGAGAGAGGCAGAGACACAGGCAGAGGGAGAAGCAGGCTCTATGCAGGGAGCCTGACGTGGGACTCGATCTCGGGTCTCCAGGATCACACTCTGGGCTGAAGGCGGCACTAAACTGTTGAGCCACTGGGCTGCCAGGGCTCAGGTTTTAGGGGCACCTGGCTGGCTCACTTGGTAGAGCACGCAACTCTTGATCGTGGGGTTGTAAGTTCAAGTCCTATGTTGGATGTTCAGATTACTTAAAATCCTTAATAAAAAAAAAAATCCTTGGGATCCCTGGGTGGCGCAGCGGTTTGGCGCCTGCCTTTGGCCCAGGGCGCGATCCTGGAGACCCGGGATCGAATCCCACATCGGGCTCCCGGTGCATGGAGCCTGCTTCTCCCTCTGCCTGTGTCTCTGCCTCCCTCTCTCTCTCTGTGACTATCCTAAGTAAATAAAAAAAAAAAAAAAAATTAAAAAAAAAAATTAAAAAAAAAAAATCCTTAATTAAAAATAAAAAAAATAAAAAAAGGACTTGGGTTTTATTATTCCCAAGTCAGCATCTACATTCCTTCTGTCTGGGGCTGTCTTCCCTTCTCAGAGGACTCTATAGCTGCTGCCTGGATGCAGGAAACTTAAAAACACAGGAAAAAGAGAAAGCAGTATTTACATGAGTGTTCCGGGCTGCCTGGGCCTCTCCTCTATCTCTCACAAATGTTAGTGTCCCTCAGAGTTCTGTCTCCAAACCTCCTCCCACTCCCTAGTTAAGCTCATGTCTTCACTTACCACGTTAAGCACTGATTCTGCCCAACCCAGTCCTGGACCTGCAGCTCCCTCTGGACATCTCTACCCATACAACCTATAGGTATCTAAGACTCAACATGTCCAAAACTCTACTCATCATATCCAGCAGCAAACCACAAAGGAAATGGTTCAAGGCCTGCAATTGCACAGACCTGGATTTGAATCTCAGGACCCCTCCCCCATTTTGAAGAGACGCCCTATCAAGTACTTTGCACAGTGCCTGACCAATGCTCTTCATTCGGTATACCTCTCTCAGCAGGGACTCAAGGCCCTGGATAACAACTGTTAAACAATTCATAGTACAATCCACAGGGTCTTGAAAAAAATATCTAAATAAATTATTTCAGTTCATTTGGCATTTTTTAGTATTATCTATCAGATTATGGTTTGACAGGTGATGGGTAGGAGAGTATATCCTTGCCTGTACTTCTAAGAAGCCAGCATAGAAAACTACCTTAAATATGTAACAGTGATCAAGATTTGGTCAATTTGGCTGGGTTAAAAATCCTATTAATATTGGTCAATATTTGGGCAGCCCCGGTGGCGCAGTGGTTTAGCGCCGCTTGCAGCCCAGGGCGTGATCCTGGAGACCCTGGATCGAGTCCCACGTCAGGCTCCCTGCATGGAGCCTGCTTCTCCCTCTGCCTGTGTCTCTGCCTCTCTCTCTCTCTGTGTCTCTATGAATAAATAAATAAAATGTTAAAAAAAATATATTGGTCAATATTTTTTAAAAGATACAGTTTGCTCTATACTGTAATGTAAAACCTAAGACTACAGTAACACTTCACATACTTGAGGTATGTGAAAAGGATTTTTTTATTTTTTTAAATATTTATTTATGATAGTCACAGGGGGGGGGGGCAGAGACACAGGCAGAGGGAGAAGCAGGCCCCATGCACTGGGAGCCTGACGTGGGATTCGATCCGGGGTCTCCAGGATCACGCCCTGGGCCAAAGGCAGGCGCCAAACTGCTGCACCACCCAGGGATCCCTTTTTTTTTTTTTTAATTTTTATTTATTTATGATAGAAAAGGATTTCAAAATATTTCTTTTTTCTTTCTCCAGTCCATCCATGTCTGTCTCCACCGCCACTGCTCTAGCTTGAACCACACCTACCTGAACCACCAATCTCTCTGCTTCAGTGCGGCCCCTCTCCCTACAATCCATTCATTAAATCTGACCTTGTGACTCCAAGGCTCAAAGTCTTTTTTTTTTTTTAAAGATTTTATTTATTTACTCATGAGAGACACAGAGAGAGAGGCAGAGACACAGCAGGCAGAGGGAGAAGTAGGTTCCATGCAGGGAGCCCGACGTGGGACTCAATCCAGGGTCTCCAGGATCACAGCCTGGGCTGAAGGCGTTGCTAAGCCGCTGGGCCACTGGGGCTGCCCTAAGGCTCAAAGTCTTCCAGCAGTTCTTGCCTACCTAAGCGCCCCTTAGTAGTATCTTTCATAACCTGGCTCCCTCCTTCTTCATTTTCCCACCTCTTCATGGCAAAGTCCAGGTTTCAGACCTGTCCTCAGAAAGAGTTCAACTAAAACTTCCTGAACAACCTAACAGTGGACACACGCTTTTAAAAGCTTTATCTCACTTAACTCTCACCGCAGTTGCGATGTAGGAACTCATTTCATGGGTAAGAAAACTGAGGTCCAGACAAACTGAGAATTTAGACATCACCACACAGGGTTCAATTGGGAAACCGAGTCAGACTGCCTCCAGAGCCTGAGCTCTCTGCTCTATTCGGGGGGGGCAGGAGGAGATGGGAGCAGCAGCAGCAACTCACCCCGGCTGGAGCGCAGAGCGTCAACGAGGCAGTGTGACCTCTGCTCGGTTCTGGGCCCTGCCCACGATCCAACACGCCTCAGCTCCGGGAACTGCTGGGCTGCGAGGGAAGATGGCCCGATGCTGAAGGCCGGGACCTGGCTTAAATCTGGCAGCGACGAGGAAGCTCCTCCCAGAGGGGAGAGGGCCGGGCTTTCAACATCACGCGCGGCGGCGGACCCCACCCCTGGCCCCGTGAGGAGCTGGCGGAAGCCAGAGCGGGCAGCCTGCACCTTCCCCTTCTCTAGGGGCTAGCGGTCGGATTCGCTGGAGTTTATTTTATTTTTTTTTTTTTCAAAAGGATTCGCTGGAGTTTAGACACGCTTCGCTGCGCAAGTTTGAAGCACGCGGGGCTGGCCGAACCCCGAGCCGCCTGCCACGTGGGGGCTCCGGCGGCTGCCGGCCCGCGCCTCTGCTGGCCCACAGTGCACCGCGCGCCGCCGCTCTAGGCCGCGCCGCCTTCTGGGGAGCGGCCGCTGCGGGAGCGGGAGGGCCCCGGGGTCACGTGGCAAGTGCTCCTCCGGCCGCCTCACCCTGGATTCACCGAACCAACGCCTGCTGGTCCCGCGATCCCGGATCCAGTCCCACGTCGGGCTCCTTGCGGGGAACCTGCTTCTCCCTCTGCCTGTGTCTCTGCCTCCATCTCTCTCTTTCTCTGTCTCTCATGAATAAATAAATAAAAATTTTAAAAAAAGAAAGAAAGAACCAGCTCCCGCTCCTTTCCCTTAGAGTCAGCCAGGTTCCCCGCGTCTACCTGAGGCCGGCCCGCTTACCTGGTCAGGTAAACAGGCTCAGAATGTAGCCGTAGCCTAAGAGTTGTCTGTAACGAGGAAGACCTCAGGCCTATGGGCTCCAAGAGATAGAAAGTGCATGGGGGGCAGCCTGGGTGGCTCAATGGCTTAGCATCGCCTTCAGCCCAGGGCCTGACCCTGGAGACCCAGGATGGAGTCCCACATCGGGCTCCCTGCATGGAGCTTGCTTCTCCCTCTGCCTCGCTCTCTCTCTCTGTCTCTCTCCCTGTGTGTCTCATGAATAAATAAATAAAATATTAAAAAAAAAAAAAAGAAAGAAAGTGCATGGGCCCCGATCCTGGACTGTGGACCTTGGCTGCGCGTTAATGCGCCAGGTCCCGGGCAGCCCGCTGGCGCAGAGGTTTAGCGCGGCCTTCAGCCCAGGGCCTGATCCTGGAGACAGGGAATCGAGTCCCATGTTGGGCTTCCTGCATGGAGCCTGCTTCTCACTCTGCCTATGTCTCTGCTTCTCTCTCTGTGTCTCTAATGAATAAATAAATCTTAAAAAAAAAAAATTAATGTCCCAGGTCCTGTGTTAGACTTTATAAACATGTTTTAAAAAAAGAAAAGATTGGGATCCCTGGGTGGCACAGCGGTTTGGCGCCTGCCTTTGGCCTAGGGCGCGATCCTGGAGATCCAGGATCGAATCCCACATCGGGCTCCCGGTCCAGGGAGCCTGCTTCTCCCTCTGCCTATGTCTCTGCCTCTTTCTCTCTCTGTAAATAAATAAAAATTAAAAAAAAGAAAAGATTTTACTTATTTTTTCACGAGAGACACAGAGAAGCAAAGACACCGGCAGAGGGAGAAGCAGGCCCCACGCAGGGAGCCCAATGCGAGATTCAAACCTGGGTCCCAGAATCACGCCCTGAGCTGAAGGCAGACGCTCAACCGCTGAGCCACCCAGGCGCCCCTATAAACATGTTTTTACTGAATCCTCACAACAATCTTGTAAAGGGAGTGTTCTCTCTCTCTCTCTTTCTTTTTTTTTTTTTTTAAGATTTTACTTATTTATTCATGAAAGACGCAGAAGGAAGAGAGAGGCAGAGACACAGGCAGAGGGAGAAGCAGGCTTCGTGCAGGGAGCCCGACAATCCCCGGTCTCCAGGGTCACACCCTGGGCCAAAGGCAGGCACTAAACATCTAAGCCACCGGGGCTGCCCCAAGGGAGTGTTCTTTTTAAATTTTTTGTAAGCTTTTTTTTTTGTAAGCTTTTTAATTGAAGTACAGTATAGCATACATACAGAAAAATGCAACAATCTTTTTTTAATATTTTATTTATTTATCATGAGAGACACAGAGACAGAGACATAGGCAGAGGAAGAAGCAGGCTCCATACAGGGAGCCCGATGTGAGACTCGAACCCGGGAATCCAGGATCACGCTCTGAGCCAAAGGCAGGCATTCAACCTCTGAGCCACTCAGGCATCCCAAAATGCAGCAATCTTAAATGTACAGCTCTGTGATTCCCCCTCTCCCCCATATAATTGTTATCGAAGTGAAAATACAGATGTTACCAGCACATTGGAAGTCGCCTGTGAGGGAGGTATTCACCTTCCGGTTTTACAGATTGCACAGACTCACCGAGGTAAAGTAGCTTGCCCAAAGTCACACAGCTATTAAGTTCACGGATTTTATGGTTGAAATAGCCCTTGCCTGAGAGGTGGCTTGCATTTTACATTTTCCCCTCTGTGTAGCTCTGCCTTTTTCTCCTCACACCTCCAGAGTCCCCTGCTCCTTTATTCTTTCCTATTGTTTTTTTGCTCCCTGGATTACTCCCTGTTTCCTCAATATAGGTAGTGTCCTGATAGAGCAAATGTCCAACGTTTGATGCTAACTATCCTCATAAAGACACTCAAGATTCCAGCTTCTGTGATCAGAATTTAATACCCCTCAGACTCATGTTAGGATACCAAAGACTTGGGCAGCCTGGTGGCTCAGCGGTTTAGTGCAGCCTTCAGCCCAGGGTGTGATCCTGGAGACCTGGGATCAAGTCCCACGTGGGGCTCCCTGCTTCTCCCACTGCCTGTGTCTCTGCCTCTCTCTCTCTCTCTCTCTCTCTCTCTCTCTCTCTCTCTGTCTCTCATAAATAAATAAAATCTTAAAAAAAAAAAAAGAATTTGAAAGGTGACACTTACCTGGATGAGGCTTAAGGGTCCTTTCATTAAAAAAAAAAAAAAAAAAAAGGATACCAAAGACTTGCCATCAAGAGACACATGCCATGTATCCCATCCCTCCCACTTTTCTGCAGTCTCACAGACTCCATATTTTTTTCTGCTGAGTCTGACTTCTTAAATGTCTGAAGGGCAGCAATCAGGTGGTGACCTTGCCACCTGATGAATTGCTGAGACCTTCTCCTTCCCCAGCATTGGGGTTTTTGCTCCTAGATCTGGTGCTGGGGAATATTTCATACGAGGTACAACCCTATTCCTCCAAGAGTTTTCTAAGCAATAGTTGTCAGCTTATAAAACAGATTGGCTCAAGAACACATCACTTCTTTCACAACCATCCTCCCATTTTACAAAAGGTAAGACTCTCAGTCAACTTCTAGGGTGCCTTGCCCCAGTGTAAAAACAAGGAGGCCTGAGAGGTAGGAGGAGACCAAGTGAATGAGTTGTCTCAGAATGCAAGGGAAATGAGTAGTTCAGGTAGGAAGGATAGTGGGAATGTATTGCTTTTTGGCTGTCCAATGTCCATTCCTCCTTCTTTTGGAGAATTTCTTCCTTGTTGGAAATTCAACAGTCATTAATTCAGTTATCTGGGGATCCCTGGGTGGCTCAGTGGTTTAGTGCCTGCCTTTGGCCCAGGGCGTAATCCTGGAGACCCGGGATCAAGTCCCATGTCGGGCTCCCTGCATGGAGCCTGCTTCTCCCTCTGCCTGTGTCTTCTGCCTCTCTCTCTCTCTCTCTCTCTCTCTCTCTATCATGAATGAAAAAAAATAAATCTTTAAAATAATAATAATAATTCAGTTACCTGCCCTCACCTAGTCAACATGTGTGTGAATGACCCAAGATATACCAATTAGATATTTCTTCCTTGGGGCAGCCTGATTGGCTCAACGGTTTAGTGCCGCCTTCAGTCCCGGACGTGATCCTGGAGACCCAGGATCGAGTCCCATGTCAGGCTCCCTGCATAGAGCCTGCTTCTCCCTCTGCCTGTGTCTCTGCCTCTCTGTGTGTGTGTGTCTCTCATTAATAAATAAAATCTTTTTTAAAAAATATATTTCTTCCTTGAGTTTGAATTATTAATATAGTCATCAAAAGACTAGAATCAACTGAATTTCATGCCTTTCATCATGAAATGCATTTCACTAGCACCCTACCGAGGCTGCCAAGCAACCTCTGCCAATAGGACCTCCTGAAGCCACCTGGGTCCTGCCAATTCCCTGCCATACCTTCCCTTTTATCTTGCAAGTTCTCCTATAGCCTTCCCAAAAAGCTTTTCTCTTTCTTTGGTTAGAGCCAGTTTTTGTTGCTTATAACCAAAGAAGCCTAACAGACACAATGAGTAAAAATAGTATCAGATGCTACAGGAAGAAGAGGAAGAGGAAATAAATCACAAGGAACTCTAAAAAAAGCGGTAATAGAGAAAAGGTCAAATTAGAACTGAATGAATATGACTAAAATGTGAATGTGTTTTTTCACATCTCTCCTTAGGTTCAGGATTGCATAAAATGCAAGAGGGATAATTCAAGTTAGATATAAATATGGTCTGGGACACCTGGGTGCCTCAGTGGTTCAGCATCTGCCTTCGGCTCGAGTCATGATCCCGTGGTCCTGGGATCGAGTCCCACATCTGGCTCCCTATGGGGAGCCTGCTTCTCCCTCTGCCTATGTCTCTGCCTCTCTCTGTGTCTCTCATGAATAAATAAAAATATTTTTAAAAATATATAAATATGATCTGTTTATGTTGATGATCAAATTCAGATGTGACCCTGGAATTGCTACAGCCATTTTGGTTCCAGAATGAAGATAAAACCAGTACAAAAAAAAAAAAATTAAAAAAAAATAAAATAAAATAAAATTTAAAAAAAGATAAAACCAGTACAAAGAGGAGGACAAAGCCAAGAGAATGTCAGGGAAGTAAAAATATTAAGCCTTGATTGTCATACTATGTCTGGAACTTGCCCTATCCCTGGAATTATATAAGATAACAAAATTTCTGGAGCACCTGGATGGCTCTGGTCATGATCTCAGGGTCCTGGGATCAAGACTCATATCAGGCTTCCTGATCAGCAAGGAGTCTGCTTCTTCCACTCCCTCTGCCCCTATCTCCCCACTCGATAAACAAAATCTTAAATAATAATAATAATAATAATAATAATAATAATAATAGGGGCAGCCCGGGTGGCTCAGCAGTTTAGCGCTGCCTTCAGCCCAGGGCCTGATCCAGGAGATCCAGGATCAAGTCCCACGTCGGGCTCCCTGCATGGAGCCTGCTTCTCCCTCCGCTTATGTTTCTGACTCTCTCTCTGTGTCTCTCATGAATAAATAAAATCTTTAAAAAATATAATAATAATAATAATAATAATAATAATAATAATAATAAAATTTCCTTTTTGTGTAAAGCCTTGTTTGAATCGAGGTTTT